TTGAATTTTCACATAATCACATAAAAATCAAACATTTCCTCTATTTCCCAGATAATATAATACAACCAAGAATGATTGGTCATGGTTTATGGTGCCCCAATTATTGAATCAAACCTATTAAAAACCCTATAAAATAGACCAGGGGTGTACAGGGACCTTTGCTGCTCTCAGGAAAATTGGCAAAAATTTAATATTTCTGTTACTTTGAGCACAGTTTCAAGCTGCTTCCAGTCCTGAAACCAACCAAAATAATCTCTACTTTAGTATATCTTCTATCACCATGGGGAAGTGGAAGAGAATTCTTCCTCTGTAAGCCATGCATGTCGTAAGAAGCGACTAAAATACCAGGAGCAAGGGCCTAGTAACCTTCTGTATAAATTACTAAATGTAACCCTTAAACGGTCCAAACGTACATATACGTTTTTTCAACATCTGAAAGTATGTAAAAAAAATGTAGATCTTCTTTTTTGTTTTACATTTGAAAACGTGTGAAAAAAACTTTTATCTACTTTTTTTTTTGTTATATTTGAAAGTATGATAAAAAAAGTAGATCTACTTTTCTAGCGCTACGAATTTGAACGTCGATTTTTTTGGACCGTTTAAGGGTTAAAAAGAAAAACTTTAATTTTTCTTTGTAGGTCACCCTGCCTTGGTGGGACATGGCCAGTTCACTGAAAATATAAACAAATCTATTTTATCATACATTACCAAGAAACATAATAAAAACCATAAAAAAATCCTAGAAAACACCTCAAAGTCATTATTTTAAACCAAACACAAGGTCAGAGTTTTGCTTTTCCCATCATGCACTGCATGGAGCAGGATTTTTTTTTATACTGTGCACAGCATATTCCCATTCCCTCAAATTTATGCCAAAATTTACTACTCACATGTATTCAAAACATGGATCTAAGCGAGGGGCCCAGGTATCATTAGATCTATGTAAAAGGGTTAATACATTTTAATATGGAGAAACATTTAACCCTTTGACTGTTTTGGTCGTATATATATACGTCTAACGAGCCAGTGTTTCAGACGTATACAGTGGACCCTCGACCAACGGTGGCATCGTATAACGTTAAATCCGACTAGCGATACATTTTAACACAAAAATTTTGCCTCGACTAGCGCTAAAAAACTCGACCAACGCGATTCGTTCCGTTTGAGACGCGTCCACGTGTGGCCTGAGTGCGCCTCACTTGTCCCGTGGGTACCAGTGTTTACAAGCCAGCCACCGCTGTCGCATCCAAACATACAATCGGAACATTTCATATTATCACAGCGTTTTTAGTGATTGCACCTGCAAAGTAAGTCACCATGGGCCCCAAGAAAGCTTCTAGTGCCAACCCTGTGATAAAAAGGGTGAGAATTAGTATGGAAATTAAGAAAGATTTTGAAGGGTTTGGGGCTAACCCTGAGATGCCTATGCCAGTTGTGGAATCCATTGTGCCTACTTCAAAGATTAAGGAAATGTGTGCAAAGTGGGCTGAACTGCAAACCTTTATGGATGAAAATCACCCTAACACAGCTATTGCAAGCCGTGCTGGTGACTATTACAATGACAATGTTATGGCCCATTTTAGACAAATCTTAAAGGAACGGGAGGTACAGAGCTCTATGGACAGATATGTTGTGCGACAGAGGTCCAGTGACTCTCAAGCTGGTCCTGGTGGCATTAAAAGAAGAAGGGAAGTAACCCCAGAAAAGGACTTGACACCTCAAGTCCTAATGGAAGGGGATTCCCCTTCTAAACACTAACACCATCCACACTCTCCCCTCCTCCCATCCCATCAATCATCACCAGATCTTCAATAAAGGTAAGTGTCATGTAATTGTACGTCTTCTTCAGTTTGTGTGTATTAAAATTAATATTTCACGTGGTACAATTTTTTTTTTTCAATACTTTGGGGTGTCAGGAACGGATTAATTTGATTTCCATTATTTCTTATGGTGAAAGTTAATTCGACTAACGATGAGCTCTCAGGAACGGATTAATATCGTTGGTCGAGGGTCCACTGTACAGTGGACCCCCGGTTAACGATTTTAATCCGTGCAAGAGGGCTCATCGTTATGCGAAATAATCGTTATGCGAATGAATTTTCCCCATAAGAAATAATGGAAATCAAATTAATCCGTGCAAGACGCCCAAAAGTATGAAAAAAAATTTTTTTTACCACATGAAATGTTAATTTTAATACACACAAACTGAAAAAGGCATGCACAATTAAATGACACTTACTTTTATTGAAGATCTGGTGATGATTGATGGGATGGGAGGAGGGGAGAGCATTATCTTCTTACTGTTTAGAAGGGGAATCCCCTTCCATTACGACTTGAGGTAGCAAGTCCTTTTCCGGGGTTACTTCCCTTCTTCTTTTAATGCCACTAGGACCAGCTTGAGAGTCACTGGACCTCTGTCGCACAACAAATCTGTCCATAGAGCTCTGTACCTCCCGTTCCTTTACGATTTGTCTAAAATGGGCCACAACATTGTCATTGAAATAGTCACCAGCACGGCTTGCAACAGCTGTGTCAGGGTGATTTTCATCTATAAAGGTTTGCAGTTCAACCCACTGTGCACACATTTCCTTAATCTTTGAAGTAGGCACAATGGATTCCACAACTGGCATAGGCTTCTCAGGGTTAGCCCAAACCCTTCAAAATCTTTCTTAATTTCCATACTAATTCTCACCCTTTTTACCACAGGGTTGGCACTAGAAGCTTTCTTGGGGCCCATGGTCACTTATTTTCCAGAAACAGCACCGAAAACACTGTAATAATACGAAATATTCCGAGTGTATGCTTGGATGTTACCGCGGAGGCTGGCTGGTAAACAATGGGACGGCCGGCACATGTGAGGCTGGCTGAGGGCACATTGGACGCGTCTCGGACGAAAATCGGTAAGCGGGTTTTTAATCGGTATGCGCGGCAAAAATTTTGCGATAAAAGTAATCGGTATGCGGAAAAATCGCTATGTGATGCCATCGTTATGCGGGGGTCCACTGTATATACTCGACAATTCCAGCAGCTTCAAATCAAGCAGGAGAAAGCTGGTAGGCCCACATGTGAGAGAATGGGTCTGTGTGGTCAGAGTGCACTGTATAAAAAAAAATCCCTCAGCACACAGAGCATAATGAGAAAAAAAAAGCTCCGACCGTGTTTTTGGATTAAAATGCCGACTTTGAGGTGTATTTTCATATAGTACTTATGGTAGTATTTTCGTTTTCTTGGTCTCATTTGACAGAATGGAAAACATATTACAGAAATAGAGACGATTTTGATTAGTTTCATGATGAAAATGACCTTGAAATTGAGCTCAAAGTAGCGGAAATGTTAGATTTATACCAATGTTCAAGAATAAGCAAATCACACCATCCGTCTAATACTCTTTCACTAGTGCACTGATATTATTTATACCATTTTTATAATAATGCAGTAGTCTGCACAACAGTAAATCTTCTATTTTTTGTGTGAATAAAAAATCAAAATAGAAAGCAAGAGTAATATAAGAGAGGCCTGGAGACATGACTAATGAACAGAGGATATGCTATTTTAGTGCCAAGAATGTCTGCATTGTTTATTCTGGACCCCATTTTAAAATTGACATCTTTTTTAATTTGCATGAAATTGGCCAAATTACCAATTTCTGACCACTTTACTGGATAGTTCAAATCTGTAAATGGGCGGTTTCATGTACTCAGCTGATAGAAAAAATTGAGTTCTAAAGAAATAGCTATTGAGTTTGGTCGAATGGAACAATGGAATTGGCCAAAAATAGGGCTCAAAGTCAGCAAAATCGCCAATGCGTATATATCGCCAAGATTGCTAACTTCGCGGGAGCGTAATTCCGTGAGTTTTCGACCAAATTTCATAGTTTTGGTGTCATTACCATTGGGAAAAGATTCTCTATCTTTTCATAAGAAAAAATAATTTTTTTTTTACCAAAAATTTTTCAACATAGAATGAGCTTGCGACAGTCAGAGGGTTAAGAAATACTGGTGTTGAAAAGCATCCAAAAAGTAATAAACTTGATACTGCAGAAAGCAGGAAGTTATAACATATGTCATATTGGCAGATGTTTCTTGAACATCGTTTGCTCTGTTGATAGACACGCATGCACTGTCTGAGACATATCACTGAGTACTGAAGAAGCCACGTGTAGCAAAACATTTTCTCGGTAAATATTATGAACTGTGTGTATGTGTCTGTGTACATACTGTCAGTATCACCATACCTTTCCAGTCATACTTTGCTCCCCTTTACCTCAGGACATAGCCAACCAGTGGCCTCACAACAGTTCAGCCTGCTTGACCTCACGATGTACTTTGCCTATAGAAACTTCAGTTTCTCATACCCCATGCATTTTTTTTTTTTTCAACAAGTCGGTCGTCTCCCACCGAGGCATATTTGAAGTAAACAATGTCCCTGAACTGAAATGTTATCCGTAACAAAATGTTGAAGGTGTTTCCTCAAGTGTCTTTAACCACAGTCTGTTTTCCTTGTAAATGTCTCTGAGAGTGTCACTGGCTTGCTAATCAATGAATTCCATTTGAAATATTTCACCAGAGCCATTTAGAGAAACTCTTAAATAAATTATCATCCACCCATTTTTTTGGAAAACAAATCTTTTCTGGACGTTAATCTACAGGAACTTCAACATGTTAATCTTTCCCTATAAACGTTTCAGGTCAGTTTACCCGTCAGATAACAATTTTCCTTTACCCTGGTGTGAAGCCATGCGTCCTTGTTGACTTCACTTATCATACTGGGATTAACTTTACTCAATTACAAGTTAAGAGGTGGGATCAAAAGCAAAAGTTCACCCTTCGTGCAGCCATAAAGAGGCAAATAGATAGTTACATGCCTTACGGAAAGGTTGTTAAAGTTGAAAAATTAATGCAATAAAGAGTGCTTTGAAGAGATTCTTCATAGAGAGCAATTTGTGACAAAATTACAACAGTTGCTGACATACAAAAACTGTGAATTGACACTTTTCTTACCATCAGTGCCTCCAAGAAGTCTTCCATGTTTACAGTAGTCACTGTGTTGATTTGCTCTGTTTCACACATCTGTTGAAATTGACTCATGAAACTTTTCACTTGCTCCATTAGGCTTCCTCCTCCCTTTCCATACAATGAATCTCTTTTTCTGTTTAAAAATAAAAACATTTACAAACAAGTTAAATTCCAAAATATTACCACAATATGCAAATTTGTTATAACAGGAATAGTTAATCATATTAATTTACACCACTACCACATTTGTAACAATCTGTAATGAGGACTACACAATCATGATTAATAAAAATTCTGGTTTTCTTCACAGTATCTCTTGATGGTTATTGGGTGGCATTACTCTACTGAGGTGAGGAAGTTAGACTATGGTTTTGTGTGAAGTACCTACACAATACCATATTTAGTATGGGACAAAACAGTGTGACTTGCAGGGCATATAAATCTGTAGTGGAAGGAAGGCAGGGTAGGGGTCGTCCTAGGAAAGGTTGGAGGGAGGGGGGTAAAGGAGATATTGTGTGCAATATAAGTGAGGACCTACTGTATGTATGACAAACCCACTACAGTGGACCCCCGACTTACGATGACCTCAACCTACCATAAAAACCAACTAATGATGCTTGTCAGCGTAAAAATTTGACCCCAACCTACGATGAAAAACTTGACTTACATCATTCATCCCATACGTCCCGTATGCATCCAGCGTCTGGCTGGCCTGAGCGCACCTCAGCTGGCCTACCTTCAGTTAGTGTGCCAATGTTTATTAGCCAGTGTGGTCGCATCCACGCATACATTCGGAACATTTTGTATTATTCCAGTGTTTTTAGTGCTTGTAACTGCTAAATAAGCCACCACAGGCCCAAAGAAAGCTTCTAGTGCCAACCCTGTGGTAAAAAGAGTGAAAATTACTATTGAAATGAAGAAAGAGATAATTAATAAGTTTGAAAGTGGAGTGCGTGCCTCCAAGCTGGCCAGGTTGTACAACAAACCCCAGTCAACCATCGCTACTATCCTGGCCAACAAAAAGGCAATCAAGGAAGCTGTTATTGCGAAAGGTACAAGTATCTTCACGAAACACAGATCACATGTACTCGAAGATGTTGAAAGACTGTTATTGGTGTGGATAAATAAAAAACAGATATCAGGAGATAGCATCTCCTGATGTGAAAAGGCAAGGCAGTTGCATGATGATTTAATTAAAAAAATGCCTGCAACTAGTGGTGATGTGAGTGAATTTAAGGTCAGCAAAGGTTCGTTTGAGAGTTTTAAGAATCATAGTGGCATACATACATGAGGCTGCCAGTTCGGACCAAAAAGCGGCTGAAAAGTATGTGCAGGAATTCCAGGGGTACATAGAGGCTGAAGGACTGAAACCCCAACAAGTGTTTGTTATGAAACAGGCCTGTTTTGGAAGAAAATGCCAAACAGGACCTACATTACACAGGAGGAAAAAGCACTGCCAGGACAAGTCTATAAAAGACAGGCTAACCTAAATGTTGTGTAGTAATGCTAGTGGTGATTGCAGAGTGAAGCCTCTACTCATGTATCACTCTGAAACTCCCAGTGTGTTTAGGAAAAACAATGTCGTTAAGGCTAATTTGTGTGTGATGTGGAGGGCAAACAGTAAGGCATGGGTCACTAGGGACTTTTTCTTTGACTGGTTTTACCATGTGTTTGGCTTCACTGTGAAAAATTACCTCCTGGAAAATAAATTGGAGCTTAAGTGCCTCCTGGTATTAGACAATGCTCCTGGTCATCCTTCAGACTTGGCAGAGCAAATTTCGGGGGACTTGAGCTTCATTAAAGTGAAATTCTTGCCTCCTAATACCACTCCTCTCCTCCAACCCATGGACCAGCAGGTCATTTCAAATTTCAAAAAACTGTACACCAAAGCAATGCTTCAAAAGTGCTTTGAAGTGACCTCAGACACTGAATTGACCCTAAGAGAGTTTTGGAAAGATCACTTTAGTATCCTCAATTGTGTAAACCTTATAGGTAAGGCTTGGGAGGGAGTGACTAAGAGGACCTTGAACTCTGCTTTGAGGAAACTGTGGCCAGAATGTGTAGAAGAGAGGGATTTTGAAGGGTTTGGGGCTAATCCTGAGGAGCCTATGCCAGTTGCAGAATCTATTGTGGCATTGGGGAAGTCTATGGGGTTAGAGGTTAGTGGGGAGGGTGTGGAAGAGTTGGTGGAGGACAACAATGAAGAACCAACCACTGATGAGCTGCAAGAGCATCTGCAACAGCAAGAGGCCACAACTGAGGGAACTGCTTCAGAGGAGGGGAGAGAGAAATTGAGGAAGTTGCCTTCTTCGAAGATTAAGGAAATGTGTGCAAAGTGGGTTGAACTGCAAACCTTTATGAAGAAAATCACCCTGACACAGCTATTGCAAGCCGTGCTGGTGACTATTACAATGACAATGTTGTGAACCACTTTAGGAAAATCTTAAAGGAATGCGAGGTACAGAGCTCTATGGACAGATTTTTGGTGCAACAGAGGTCCAGTGACTCTCAAGTTGTTCCCAGTGGCATTAAAAGAAGAAAGGAAGTAACCCTGGAAAAGGACTTGCTACCTAAAGTCCTTATGGAAGAGGATTTCCCTTCCAAAAAATAATAAGCCTCCATCATCTTCCCTCCTCCCATCTCATCACTTATTCTTCATTACACAATATATATTGTGCATGTATCGGATGGATTTATGAAGGATGAGGTTAATCATAGAATTGATGAGGGAAAAAAGGTGAGTGGTGCGTTGAGGTATATGTGGAGTCAAAAAACGTTATCTATGGAGGCAAAGAAGGGAATGTATGAAAGTATAGTAGTACCAACACTCTTATATGGGTGTGAAGCTTGGGTTGTGAACGCAGCAGCGAGGAGGCGGTTCGAGGCAGTGGAGATGTCCTGTCTAAGGGCAATGTGCGGTGTAAATATTATGCAGAAAATTCGGAGTGTGGAAATTAGGAGAAGGTGTGGAGTTCATAAAGTATTAGTTAGAGGGCTGAAGAGGGGTTGTTGAGGTGGTTTGGTCATTTAGAGATAATGGATCAAAGTAGAATGACATGGAGAGCATTTAAATCTGTAGGAGAAGGAAGGCTGGGTAGGGGTCATCCTCGAAAAGGTTGGAAGGAAGGGGTAAGGGAGGTTTTGTGGGCGAGGGGCTTGGACTTCCAGCAGGCATGCATGAGCGTATTCGATAGGAGTGAATGAAGACGAATAGTATTTGGGACCTGATGATCTGTTGGAGTGTGAGCAAGGTAATATTTAGTGAAGGGATTCAGGGAAACCAGTTAGTTTTATATAGCCAGACTCGAGTCCTGGAAATGGGAAGTACAATGCCTGCACTCTAAAGGAGAGGTTTGGGATATTGGCAATTTGGAGAGATATGTTGTGTATCTTTATATGTATATGCTTCTAAACTGTTGTGTTCTGAGCACCTCTGCAAAAACAGTGATTATGTGTGAGGTGAAAGTGTTGAATGATGATGAAAGTATTTTCTTTTTGGGGATTTTCTTTCTTTTTTTGGGTCACCCTGCCTCGGTGGGAGACAGCCGCCTTGTTGGGGAAAAAAAAATGTATCCTTCCTTTTGTGTGTAGGAAATTGTATATTTCATGTGGTAAAAATATTTTTTTTTCATTGCGGTGTCTGGAACAGATTAATTTGATTTCCATTATTTCTTATGGGGAAAATTAATTCGACTTATGATAATTTCGTCTTACGATGTGCTCTCAGGAATGGATTAATATCGTAAGTCGGGGGCCCACTGTATTTAGAAAAATCAGCATTAAGACTATATTGTGAAAGTGATGCCATTTGTCACCTTTCATACAGGGAGGGAACCAGGTGGCTACCTAAGAGTAAACCTGAGGTATCAGCCTCCACACAGTATAGTCACTCACTGCATCCAGTATTCCCCATGCAGAATTTTTTTAATGATTGGAATATTACTTACAAAACCTGTGATCCACATTAGGAAATGCTTGTCCAGTTTCCTGACAACCGTTATACCCACCTACCATCTCCCAGTAAATCTGAAGAACCTCTTCTCTCATATATTTAAGTAAAACTTTAATATGTGCAGGTGTTTAACAATATTTGTAACTTTTTAATGAACCAAGCAGAGACTTACATGAAGGATCTTTGTTAAGCTTATAGTACATGTAGGTGTTAAACAAGAGGGCCATTAATTTTTTAATGTAATTATCTTCATTGGGAATAATTATTTTTTGTTAACTTTGTTTATAATAATTTTGTCATTATTTCTCATGATAAAATTATATCTTGCCAGGATAAAAATGCTGATTTAATACAAAGCAAGTTGTTAAATAGTTCTGAAGAGTTGTAGATACCATTTTTGGAACTGCATCTAAAATATACATATTGAAAAGTAAATACTAGAGAATTATATATTAATGATATAGAAAGCCTAGAGTACAAGTGGGCAAATAGGACATGTGCAACATGTGGGTATAGTATGGAGACATTTCACCAATGGTGAAGATACCCAAGTCTTGCATGTGTCTTATTCATATAAATGCAATAGCCTTACCTTTTCCAAGCTAGACTCTGGGCCTTCTCCAACAGCTTCTTGAGGTCTCCTGCCACAAACCCTGGGGTTCTACTGGCCAACTCATTTATGTCGTCAATAAGTAATGTTCCTTCACAAAGTAGCTGAAAGATATTTTTAATTGTATTTTATACTGAAAGAGGAATGTAGAAAGGTGCAAAACAAAAGTTAAACATGAATGTTGAAAGTAAGGAAATGAGAGTAAAATAATGGAAGAATAATGATAATATACAAGAATACAAGAAAAGGTCCAAAGAAAGGTTGGATGGAGGGGGGGCAGGGAAAGGAGGTTTCAAGTGCTAGGGCTTGGACATCCAACAAACTTGTGCCAGCATGTAGACTGGAGTGGAGGCAAGTCATTTTTATGATTTGATGTGCTGTTAGAGTATGAGCAAAGATAACATTTACGAAGGGACTCGGGGAAACTGGTTAGATGGACTTGCGTGTTGGAGGTGGAGGGACAGTGCCCGCATTTTCAAGGATGGGTGGGGGAATGTTGCAGTTTGGAAGGCCATCTGAATTGTAACATTAGTGCACTTCTAGCAAGACAGTGATTCATGGTGAAAGTATTTTCTTCTTTGTTGGGTCACCCTACCTTGGTGGGAGATGGCTGAAGTGTTAAAAAAATACAGCATTCCCTATTTTAGCAGACAAAGATTTTATAAATCACTGATCAGAATACAAAAATAAAACTGCAGGCATGCTGAGCAGTTTAAAAGTTACAGGATTTTTAAGTATGAAAAAAAAATGTATTTCTGCATCATTCCCTAATGATCCACTAAAAGCAACCAGCACACTATCATACACCTATTACCAGTGAAGCACCATTTAATTTTTACCCATGCAACAATTTTCCTTGCTGTTTCCCTACTTTCTGTGGCAGAGCCATCTAGAGGTAGCTTGCTGACTGAATCATCAAATTACAATCATTTATTTGGCAGTGGAGCTCTGATGACCCACTAGGAACTCTACCATTAATACCCCAAATCATGATGAAGAGAGAGTTATAAAATGAAGGCAAGAATCCAGATGCTATGTATGTGCAGGGTATTTGTGTACAGTATATGACATGTCTCTGAGATAGGAACTCAAAATCAAAGGCTGGGTGCTAGAAATTGAGCTGCTCATAACCATTTGAGTCTGGAGGAGAGTCCAGAGGACCTTTTATTTCGAGCACTGAGTGAAGTCTTATATCCAGAAGAAAGGGCCAGCTGAAATGAGCCACTGCTAGGCATAAAGACCCTGAACACTGCATACAAAGCATTCACCTTAACAAGCATCAGTCAGCAAGAAACCTTGTAAAATCTTAAAATACAGATGTCCCTCAAGCATAATGTAAAGCCACTAGTGACAGGGTCACATAGGCATGATAGAAAGTTACATAAATATGATACAATACAGTACTGGGTGGTGATACAATACAGTACTGGGTGGTAATACAATACAGTACTGGGTGGTAATACAATACAGTACTGGGTGGTAATACAATACAGTACTGGGTGGTAATACAATACAGTACTGGGTGGTAATACAATACAGTACTGGGTGGTAATACAATACAGTACTGGGTGATAATAAAGTACTGGGTGGTAATACAATACAGTACTGGGTGGTAATACAATACAGTGCTGGGTAGTAATACAATACAGTACTGGGTGGTAATACAATACAGTACTGGGTGGTAATACAATACAGTACTGGGTGGTAATACAATACAGTACTGGGTGGTAATAGAATACAGTACTGGGTGGTAATACAATACAGTACTGGGTGGTAATACAATACAGTACTGGGTGATAATAAAGTACTGGGTGGTAATACAATACAGTACTGGGTGGTAATACAATACAGTGCTGGGTGGTAATACAATATGGTTCACGGTGGTGATACAATACAGTACTGGGTGGAAATACAATACAGTACTGGGTAGTGATACAATGCAATACTGGGTGGTGATACAATACAGTACTGGGTGGTAATACAATACAGTAGTGGGTGGCTATACCATGCCACAACTATAGGAGATACGAACTCTCCTGCTCTTAAGAACTCCTCTTAGTAGGTTCCTTAATGTCAGTGAAGGGCTCTTGATCCTTGGAATGGGACCTGTGTAATTCTTCTCAGGCCTTGTCCTTTTTGCCCTTGTCCCTAGCACTCGTGCTACCACCTGGCAAACTTAGTTGCGACCTACAGCTCAGCTCAGTGTGCTGTGATTTGTCCTCACATATTGGACAGCCATCAGCCAAGGAAGACCCTCCCCTCCAAACTTTCTCTCAGTCCTCCTGGCCTGTCCTGGGGCTAGCACTGCCCATCCTGCTGTGTATCAAACACTAAATACCTGCCAAGTACCTATTATTCCACCAGACACCAAAACCATATGTATTTATCTAGTGACAATGGTAAAAACCATTGGTACACTTGGTTGCAGCAGTTGTATCAGGCCCTAAAAGAGAGAAAGGAAAGACAGAAGTCACATGTTACTTCATCGCCCCATCCAAGCAGAGATGCAGGTACATCCAGGATTTGTGCCCAAACATGCCTAATTTCCTTGAGAAATCTCAGTAGCAGTAGCAGCAAGGTACAGGTGACAGTGAATACGATGAATACATGGGTAAGGACAGCATGGAAAGCTGAGAGGACCCAGGTAACACCTCTGAGATTTCTCAAGGAAATTAGGCATGTTTGGGCACAAATCCTGGATGTACCTGCATCTCTGCTTGGATGGGGCGATGAAGTAACATGTGACTTCTGTCTTTCCTTTCTCTCTTTTAGGGCCTGATACAACTGCTGCAACAAAGTGTACCAATGGTTTTTACCATTGTCACTAGATAAATACATATTAAATTAGTGCCAGGAATGCCTGCATTGTTTATTCTGTACCCTATTTTGAAACTGGAATTTTTTGAACTTTATGTTAAATTGGCCAAATTACCAATTTCTGGGTAGTTGAAATAGTTGACTGCAGAGTTTCTTGTGCTCAATTGATAAAATAGAAGTAATACTAGTGAAGTAGCTAAGAATTTGGTTGATTGGAATAATGTAATTGGCCTAAAACTGGGGTCAAGGTGGGTAAACTCTCTGATGCATAAATATAGCTGATGCAGTAATAGTTGCAATAGTGTAATTTTGTCAATTTTCCATGAAATTTTGTACTTCTTGCTTTATTACCTCCAGAAAAAGATTCTCTACCATTTCATATTTTTTTAAATTCTTGGAACCTCAAAGGGTTACAAGATTCCATTATTATACAAAAAGTTGCAACGCAAATGGCAATACAACAAAAATGTCTGCCTAATATCAGTGTAATGACCATCCTCAGTATAATGACCATCCTCAGTATAATGACCATCCTCAGTATAATGACCATCCTCAGTATAATGACCATCCTCAGTATAATGACCATCATCAGTATAATGACCATCCTCAGTATAATGACCATCATCAGTATAATGACCATCCTCAGTATAATGACCATCCTCAGTATAATGACCATCCTCAGTATAATGACCATCCTCAGTATAATGACCATCCTCAGTATAATGACCATCCTCAGTATAATGACCATCCTCAGTATAATGACCATCATCAGTATAATGACCATCCTCAGTATAATGACCATCAGTATAATGACCATCATCAGTATAATGACCATCCTCAGTATAATGACCATCATCAGTATAATGACCATCATCAGTATAATGACCATCCTCAGTATAATGACCATCATCAGTATGACCATCCTCAGTATAATGACCATCCTCAGTATAATGACCATCATCAGTATGACCATCCTCAGTATAATGACCATCCTCAGTATAATGACCATCATCAGTATGACCATCCTCAGTATGACCATCAGTATAATGACCATCATCAGTATAATGACCATCATCAGTATAATGACCATCAGTATAAAGACCATCCTCAGTATAATGACCATCATCAGTATGACCATCCTCAGTATAATGACCATCATCAGTATGACCATCCTCAGTATAATGACCATCAGTATAATGACCATCAGTATAATGACCATCAGTGTAATGACCATCCTCAGTGTAATGACCATCAGTATAATGACCATCCTCAGTATAATGACCATCCTCAGTATAATGACCATCAGTGTAATGACCATCCTCAGTATAATGACCATCCTCAGTATAATGACCATCCTCAGTATGACCATCCTCAGTGTAGTGACCATCAGTGTAATGACCATCCTCAGTATAAAGACCATCATCAGTATGACCATCCTCAGTATAATGACCATCAGTATAATGACCATCCTCAGTATAATGACCATCCTCAGTATAATGACCATCAGTGTAATGACCATCCTCAGTATAATGACCATCAGTATAATGACCATCCTCAGTATAATGACCATCAGTGTAATGACCATCCTCAGTGTAATGACCATCAGTATAATGACCATCCTCAGAATAATGACCATCCTCAGTATAATGACCATCCTCAGTATAATGACCATCCTCAGTATAATGACCATCAGTATAATGACCATCCTCAGTGTAGTGACCATCAGTGTAATGACCATCCTCAGTATAATGACCATCCTCAGTATAATGACCATCCTCAGTGTAGTGACCATCAGTGTAATGACCATCCTCAGTATAATGACCATCAGTGTAGTGACCATCCTCAGTGTAGTGACTATCCTCAGTGTAGTGACCATCATCAGTGTAGTGACCATCATCAGTGTAGTGACCATCAGTGTAGTGACCATCCTCAGTGTAGTGACCATCCTCAGTGTAGTGACCATCATCAGTGTAGTGACCATCATCAGTGTAGTGACCATCATCAGTGTAGTGACCATCATCAGTGTAGTGACCATCAGTGTAGTGACCATCATCAGTGTAGTGACCATCATCAGCGTAGTGACCATCCTCGGTATGACCATCCTCAGTGTAGTGACCATCCTCAGTGTAGTGACCATCCTCAGTGTAGTGACCATCATCAGTGTAGTGACCATCATCAGTGTAGTGACCATCTCAGTGTAGTGACCATCCTCAGTGTGTTGACCACATCAGTGTAATGACCATCAGTGTAGTGACCACCATCAGTGTAGTGACCATCAGTGTAGTGA